GGATGAGTGCATGACAAGCACCATGACAAGGCTGAAGCATGGTGCTATCATCAAGAAAGGCGACATGGTGCTGCATGGCAATGAGTCAGGGCACGAGTGCCCTTATAGATGTGCCAAAGTGCACTGCTGCATTGAGCTGCACAATATTGCTCTGGTGACGCCTGCCCCCGCCACTTTCCTTCAGCAGCGGTGGGACATGAACATGCTCAAGTTTCGTGAAGAGGCAGGTGACCCCCAGATTTACATCATCTGTGCCGATGACCTTGTTCTCGAGGCCGGGGTGCACTCAGTTGGGGGCTACGATTGACTGTGAGAAGCATACTGTATCGTCAAGGAAACTGGGCGTGAAGAACTATGGGGTGGGTCAGGACAGTGGACACTACACGTTGCCGGTGGATGAGTGTGAGCCTGACTGTGCAGTGATCCCCAATGACTTTCACATGGATGACGGTGTGGATGCTACGCGAGTGCACCCGGCAGTTTTGCAAGGTCCCAAGATTGACTCCCGAGATCTCAATGGCCTCGACCGCGGCGTCCGTGCGCAAGCTGTGTCAGAGCTCGGAACACAAGACGAAGGAATGCCCGCTGATCGAGGAGATCGAGTCGGAGGAAGAGTTCAAGCGGGTGGACATGGAGCACCACGAGGAGGACCCAAACGGCGCCACCGAGGCCGGAGTCCAAGACTGGATTCAAGGGGAGGCGGGCAAGTGCGCCCACGAGCTCTCCGGCGACTGCGTCGGAGGGCTACACCTTGGTGGAGAACGTGACGGGCATCACGGCGGAGGAGATGAGCATGCTCAACAAACGCCACGCCAAGCAGGCTGCATCGAAGGCCCGCGCCATCCAGAAGCAGGCGTTGACCGGGTGCATTATCCGTCTCTGTCTCCCATGCCTGGAGCAGCGAGGTAGCATTCAACCTGGTTGCGTCGAGAAACTCGGTGGTTGTCGATGTTGCTGGGGAAGGAGGTCGCCTCGATGCGCCAGAAGATGCAGTCCCCCGAAACCTGGAGCCTGATGTGAGGCTCGAGGCCAGCCGCGTGCGACCGAACCGGGGTACGCACCAGCGGCTTAAGGTCGGTGTGAGGTGTGAGACAGCGAAGGAGGCAATGGTGGTGATGGAGCGCGTCGTTCGGGATCCCGGCAAGAGGTTGGTTCTGGAGGTCTTCGCGTGCGGCGGCCGCTTGATGGGCATGGGACCTCACTCAAACAGCTGCCAGAAGAAGCTGCTTGAGGTCATTGACTTGCGCCCGACCTGGTGACGATGGATCCGCCTTGTGGGCCGTGGTGTGGTCCGGGGCCGAGAGTCCGAGTGACCCGAGGGACTGGGATCGTCGCCGGGAACACTTGCCTTTGTGGAGGTTGATTGATGAGGTGTGGTGCCGGCAAGTTGATGGGGGGCGACTAGTGTTGCTGATGCAGCCGGTGACGTCACAGGCTTTCAATTTGAACTTTATGAAGGAGCGGGCGATAGCTTCGGCCTGAACGATCCCCAGACCAACAAGCCTTACCTCAAGAAGGTGATTCTGGAGTGCAACGACAAGCACCTGGTGCGCTACTTGCTGCACGGCGCCTACTGCTGCCACAAGGCTTCGGAGCACGAGGCGATCCAGGGCTTCTGCAGGTTGGGCGCATCTTGGGAGCGTCGTTCAGACATGGCGGCTCGAGCTGTGTGTGAAGGTTCTGGAGGCTGCCGAATATGCGATGGCCCATGTGGAGGTGGGGACGAAGGACTGCGGCAACTGGCGAGGCACTCTATGACCGGGGAGCGCTATGACTATATGTGTGTTTCGATGGCGTCTGCACGTGACCCTTGGCCACCTGTCAAATGAGAGACTGGCCGGATGCTATGTTTGAGTGGGGCCAGTGAGGCCGCTGTGACGTTGGCGGGGAAAGCTGCGACGCCAGGTTTGTGCCATGACTCTCGCCCACCCCAGAACGCCCAAGTTCTTCAATGAGCGAGTTTCAAGCGACTCTTTCTACGTTTGGGACGCTGAGGGGACTAAGTTCGTGGCCACCCACTACATCGACGCCCTGATGGAGGTCCTGAATTTCAGGGTTCCATGATGGAGTTCGGCGTGGCTCAGGAGGTGGTTCCCGAGGGCGCAAAGTGGCCCTTAGTAACTTAGGCCAGGCCGAGCGACGTGGGCCGGTGCTGAAGTTGATGGTCATGAAGATGACTGAGGGCATGAACCTCAAGGGCTCAAGGATATGAGGCACGCCCTCCTGGCAACGACGACGGCGGCCAAGAATAGGACCCTGAACCGCGGAGGCATCTCGCCTTTTTGCAAGCGGTCACCGGGAGGAACACCATGATCCCTGGGAGTCTTATGCAGCAGCTGGCCAGTGGGAAGGTCCGGTTCAAGTACAACGAGGCCGTGGGACACAATGAAGCAATCGCTCGAGCGGAGCGCATCCGTATCGGTGCTCTGGAGGCCTTTCACTGGCTGGACTCCCACGACACGATGCCTTGACGCGAGCATTGGCTTCGAAGTCTCGGCCACCCCAACTCGAAGGTGCGAGGGAAGGCGCGGTGGTCTATGTCGACGACCCGCCCGCGTCGCGACGAAGTTTGGCCCGGAGGATGCAGGACAACAGCAGCTGGACCGGGCCTGGGATCAGCGTTTGTGTCGAGAGGCAAAGCCGCAAAGGGTGTGGGCGCGAATCCGAGGCCGTGTCAAGGCCTTCCCGCTGGAGAAGCTTCGCTTGGCGATGGTGGATGAGATGGTGACCTCGCAGTACATCACGGAGGCCATCACGGAAGTTGAGGAGGAGCTACGAGGGGGGCGGTTGCGTTTGGAGCAAGGCCCAGATGACGGGCTCGAGGAGCCCCCGCCCAGCAAGGCCAAGGAGGGGGTCGTCTCGCCCAGGGCCAAGCTGCTTGATGATCTGCCGTTCCAGGTGGGCCGCAACTTGGAGGACAAACGCAAGCGCGAGGCCGAGGCAGGCATGGACCCTTCCTTGTTACACTTGTTGGACTTTCAGAAGAAACAGAAGATGTTCGAGTCCCTCGTCAAACAGCTGGAACCTCCCACCTCCATGGAGGAACCCAGTATGTGCAAGCACCTGGAGGACACCATGCGAAGTTCAAAGGCGTGCGCAAGGCCTTAAAGTGAAACCCAAGGGTGCCGAAGGTTGCAGCCGAGGCGATGGAGGCCATGAGTCCAAGGCCGAGCGCAGCCGGATCCGGACGGTGATGGAAGTCAGCGTGGACGAGGGTGGCCCCGAATGGTTTCGCCCGGGACAATTGGACGCGCTGATCAATGACACGATGGGCCGCTGGACTTTGTGGAGCGAATCCTCTCCACATGCGGAGAGCGAGGTCTTGGTCCAAGTGAGCAAGGCGGTGGCGGATGCTGAGACCGACGGCCTCACCGAGGTTGTCACCGGGAAGGCCAGAGTGGAGCACAAGTGGTCCAGCCTGGACGACGAATGGCGAGAGGCTTACATTGGCTTACATATTGAGCCTTTGAAGAAGGCCGCGGGTGTCTACTTGGACCATGAAGGCATCAAGGGTGTCCCAAGGACCAAGTGGTGGACCCCTCAATACACTGAGTTACGCGATTCGTCTTGACCAACAAAGGCGGCCTCGAGCTCTTTGATGCAGAGCTGAAGGCCCGCTGGATTTTCGGGGGCCACAAGGATCCGGATGCTGGTTTTTACGCCACGGCCTCACCAACGGCAAGCACCTTGGGTCACAACCTGTTGAAGCGATTGGGCGGCAATGTGCGGCCGGACCTGGTGGAGTTGACCAAAAGGCGGGCTTCGGCTTGCCGGAGAGTCCGCGACTTTGGTACCCGGAGTACAAAGACACGATTGAGGCACTCGGGCTCAAGGAGCTGGCTTTGGCGCCCTGGGGCGTTCCATGGGCATGGTGGGCTTCGAGCCACGGCCTCAATCCATGAAGTTCGGCAAGCTGTGGAAAGCTACAGAAGGTTGGCAGAAGTTTTGCGGCCGACGGGAGCGACAGTGCCCAATCAGCTTCGAGATGGAGTATTCGATGACTGAGTACACCAAGGAGATTGAGCGGAAGGTCATCGGGGCATTTGTGTCATCGAGCATCCCGCATTTGGCTGGGCGAGGAGACCCAGCGGTTTTGCGCGTCCTCACAATCAGGGCGTCAAGAGGGCACGTGAGGACGTGGTGATCCCAGTTAGGAACCTTGGATGTCCTTTGGAAGATGTGGTGGTGTCGGTGAGCGACGCGGCCTACGAGGCGATGCCGGGAGGCCATAGACAAGCTGGGTTGTTGATCTTGCTGGCGTCGCCCGCAGTGCTCACTGGGGTTGCCCCTGTATGCGCCCTTGAAGGAACGAGCAGCAAGATCCAGCGAGTGGTCAGATGCTCGATGTCGGCCGAGGTGAGTTTGTTAGCTACCTGGCTCGAGCACGGTGACTTTGTCAGAGCCGTGTTCTGCGAGCTCGTGGACAGCACTTTCGATCTTCGAAGGTGGAAGATCTCGGTCTCATTACCTGGTGACCGATGCGAAGACGGGCTACGATGCCTTGAACAGCGACACACTGCCGACCGACCGCAAGGTGGCGATCGACGTCACGGTCTTGCGGCAGGCGATCGTGACGGACGACACCAGTTGTTTTGTGAGATGGGTCCCGGGATCCGAGATGCCTTGTGATGGTCTCACGAAGTGGGCAGACAATCACGTTCTGTGTCGGCTTTTAAGCACAGGCAGCTGGGCTCTGATGGACAATCCAGAGGCCCAAGAGCTGAGACGCCAGGCGGGTGTGAAACGATCTGCTTGGCGAAAGGCAGCCAAGTCGCCCTCAAGCCTGGCACCACAGTAGGTGTGACTGAAAACGTGCACATTCCAGCCGGTGCGACAGTTGCAAAAGCAGATCCGACTGAGCCCTTTTGGCTCCTTGTTCTGCGGGAACAAAAGGCCTCTGCGTAGGTCGGTGTTTTTCGCGATTGCCCGTGCCACTTCCGCTCTTACACAGATTGCCGCATGCTGATCCTCACAGTTGCGACCGAGCTCAGGCAAGGTGCTGTGACGCCACGGACTTCTGCCACATCCTCGCCAGGCGCGGATGCAGACGAATTCATCCTCCAGCACACAGCCACTGTGTCGCAGAGCCTGCCAAGAAAGCATACACTACTTCAGGAGGTGCGGTCCGATATGTTTCTGTCTGCTTCGCGTAATGCATAGTGCAAGGTGTCAGGACCCCTGATCCCTGCACGGCAACAGTCTGGCACCTGTGAAAAACGGGATGGTCTACGTACCGATCGCGGCCATCGCCAAACCGGGATTGGTAGCCGTGCTTTTCAAACGGGGCCACATCCTTATGCGATGCAATGCAAGGTTTTGGGTCACGCAGACTGCAAAGCCGTTCAACTCGGATCGACAGGCAGCCCCTGAGTTTTAAACAGGTGTGACCCCGAAACCCCAACTGCATCTCGAACCCTACACCTGTGGCTCGCTCCCTCACATGCACAGCCAAAACGACGACAAACCCGTGAAGCCCCCCACCACAAGCTCAAGACAATTCTCAAGAACGGAATTGCAGAGCCCTACACACACACAAGCCACGAATCCCAAAACGATTAGCAGCTACGTGCCAAGACGCCTTAAACCCTAAACATGCTTAAGATTTGAACCCAAAATCTTGGTGCGTCCAAAAAAGGGTATTGGCTGAACAGAAAAACGCCTAGAGGGAATACACAGCACATGGCAATGCACATGTCTAGCGAACTGCTTTGTGTGCACAAGCACTGCATGCGATGCGAGGTTTGCCAGAAGGGCTTGCGAAGAGGATCAACGAGGTCAATTCAGCCCGCATGCTGCTCCACGGGGCATTTGGGCCACAGACTGATCATGCCAGTGCCCATCCGCCATTAACTCGAAGTCACAACTCCCTTCCGTTGCCATTTGCTCGCAGTCAAGCAGCAAACCACCACACCTCCGGTTGCAGTTCTCGTTCCTGCCACTTCGGCTTGCCTCAGTTTCACTGCCATGCCGAGCATGATCCAATTCACACCAGGTCAAGCCCAGTCGCAGTTGTAGAGATTCCAGCTCAAGCACTGAGCTGACGTCACAACAACAACCTCTGCCGAAGTGGGGGAGCACAGTGATCGGAACGGCAGGAAGTTCCTCTACCATTCACTCTCGAAGCCACATGTTCCAAACATGTACAAGTGGCCAGCTGGCCATCTTCCTTGCACACGTGGGCAGCACTCTCCAGGAAGGCCTGGATGTAGTAGTACATCATCTGAGAAATGCCTGAACATGGCCACGGAGAACAATGTAAATTAGCACGCACACACAAGTGCGCCCAAACACTGCCCTGCGCCCGTCTACCGATTGTACCATCAATAGTGTGTTCCTGGTTGCGGACGTTACTATCTGGTCATGGATGCGGTCGAGGTGGACACAATGGTGGTTTGGGCAGAAAGGATTCACCGGCACCGTGAGAATGCCTTGCAAACACAAAATCACGAGGAGCTATGGAGGTTACCAGAGCAACGTGGATCTAATTTGATTTTGAGCGAAGTCTCGTGCCGACGCTATCAGCTTAGCGTGCAATGGACTTGTCGAGACAGAACAGCAGGTGCCCTCGCCACCGCCGCTACTATCCGCTACTGACGTCGGGGCCATGAATCAAGAAGCCAGGCGCTCGTGCCGCGACTTGCGACACAGCCTTGCATGTTCTCTCGATCAAGGCTCCGAATTCGTTGAAGACCGACACTGGTTTGCCAAATCCTGCTGCAGCACTGTACAGGAGATATCCGCAGAAGTCGTGCATTGTTGTTCGCGCTGGTTGTTTGCAGTCATGGGCTCAGACATTGCGAAATCACTGCAGGGGTCCTGAATTCATGGTCCTGGTTGTTTGTTCGGTGCCGGGCCAAATGGTAGTGTAAAGTCACTGCGCAGGTTGTACGGCTGAAGAAATAGCTGTTTCGGACAGATGCTGTGGCTAGGTTGGTGCTTTTTCAATTTCTGCGGCTCCAAAAACGCGTGCAAGTGTATTCCTCGCACCCCGCATGCTCTGACAGGACCTGCCATGTCATGCAAGTGGCTAGCAGGCGGACGCCACTGTCTATCCGGAACATACGGCATCATCCAGAAGATTGTGTCGAAGCCTGGTATCCAGGACAAGACTCTGACTTGCCCGAACTGCGATTCACCTGAACATGCACAGTCTGCCAAGCCGCTGCTGTGCGGGCTTTTCGCCTTCTCCAAAGTCTGCTTCAGTTTCACTCCATTGATGTCATCTGCGCACCAAACCTTGAGTTGAGTCCAGGAGAAGGAAGGCAGGGTTCTCTGGCAAAAATGCAGGAAAGTGGCTTCCTTCGATCCTCAGATACGAGTCAGAAGCGCAAAACCCGAAGACTCTGAGAGGGGACCCAAGTGTCCGACTGCGTCGGGTGCCCCTGAATGTGCGCCTTGCGTCGCAGCAGCTTGATGTTCTCCACCAGGTCCAGCTCGAGTTTTTTCTCGAGTGTTCCTTGGATGCTGACAATGCAGCTTCTCTTCAGCCTTTCTTATGCATCATCGCTTCTTCAAACGTGCGATTGCCTTTCTTGTCTTGTGCTAAAGGCCTGCCAAGGCACTTGGCCATCTCAGTTCCGTCGAGCACCAGCATGCCTTCCAGCTGCTACTGGAACCCAGTTTCAACATGGACACATGGAGCGTCCATTCTGCCTTGTTCAAGCTGTAGGGATGGCTTGCCTCCTCAGCAAATCACGAAACGCTCTGCTAACTTGTTGAGAAGCTATCACGAAGCGTCCGTTCGAGCGGGAATGCCGACACTGAGATTGATGTCCTTGCCTTTAGGCTCGATCCTTTAGCGTGCCCGCAGCGGTTGGAGATGCTGCGGTCAATGAATGATTGGGGGCGCGTGATTCAATGGAACGTCTTTTTCTGAAGACGCTTTCAAAGCTACCTGGGATTGAGGACGGGAAGAGCTGCGTTCTGACAAGCGCCCCGAGGTGAGCCCACCTTTCCCAAAATCCGACCCCAGCCAGCTCCACTCAACTTGCGAGCAGTTCTCCTGTAATATTCGAAGGTTTGCTGGAAATGACTCCAAAATTGCCAGCCGCCCAGAAACAGATTTCAGCCCAGTGAAGTACAGACCCAAAAAGGCGAAACCAGCTGAAATCTGATTTCTTCCGGAGCAGCATCCGCAAATGGTATGACACCAGCCAGGCGGCCTCAAACCGAAAACAGGCCCAAACATGTCATGTCGTGCGCTCTCTACGCCCACCTGCAGCCAAGGAGAAGGAATGTGTGCCTCAGCCAAACTGCAAGAGTGCAGTTAAGGCTTCTCCGTCACTCTCAGGGATTGTGTGACTTGGGAAGCTTAGCCGTTGGGCTCTGAGAGCTGAGGTCACGTCATTCCCCCACCCAAAGAACGTCCTTGAAACTGTCTGGGCCCTGTGAGGAGTCAGATCCACGCAGGGCAGGCCTCGAGCAAAACACTCCCAACCTCGCCAAAAACTTCGCGCAGCTGCAGCGACTTCTTGCGGCCCTCCTGCCGACTAAACAGTATTCAGCAAGATTGTGGTTGAGCTTGAGCAAACAGGCTGTGCCTGGGTCTCGAAATTTTTGCGTATCGCCTCCAACATCTTTTCCTTACTGCCAGTAGATGTGTGATGTAACTACGCAACATCCATGAGCATCCACAGTGACACCCTCCGAGTCTCCAGCGATGTGCTCCTCGCTGGCAGTCACATCGTACCCACCCACACCCTTGCATGCATGAAATTTCATATGACAACGTTTGTTACCCAGTCTGAATTGACAGAATCAGAGCCTTCGTGTCCATGTACAGCTTGAAGCTAACCTGGCAAGTCATGGAACAGGAGCTGGCGGAGTCAAGCGGGCAAAGCAAACATAGCGCCCGTGCCTTCATGCCGACACTGAGGATAGTGCCCTTCGTTGAGAGATCGGGATTGGCAACATACCTTGAGAAGACTTGGAGGAAAGGCCCTTGTCAACAAGCAGAATAACAAAATGTGCATTCCACAGATACTCCGATTTCCCTGAACAAATCTCTGGCAAAAGAGCAAAATGCCAGTTCACCTAGATCTGCTTGCAGACGCGTCTCACAACGTCATCTTCAATCCCTGCGGGGTCACCAGCAGGCGCTCAAAGAAGTCATTGCGCGTATTGACATGAGAGGGAGTCTCGCCGCAAACTCATGACATCCCGTCGCGGCTATCTTGTTGGACACACTAGTGCTGATGAAGCCCAGAAGAGTGTAGAAAGCCCAAAAGCCCCAACTGGTAGCCACGTGTCTTCCGCGTGGCTTACTGTTCTCGCTTCTACTCTCTTCTTCAACAACCGGGCCCCAAAAAGTTCCAACTTTTTAAGATAGAGCTAATATATAAGGCCGAAAAGTTTAAAGTTCCCCCGTTCACTATCTAAGTCTAGTAATGATACTAAAAATGGCCGCCTGCCCCTGCCTCCACAAAAGGGCTTTCCGCGGCCGCCGTCCTCTGCCTTTCTCCGGAACCTGCGAAATACACGTGCCCAACGCGCACCCTTCTACCTGAATCTGGCCACGAGTACTCTACTTTCGTTAGGAGCACTTGGAGCAATTTTCTGTTCCAGGGTGCCGGCCCGTCACACATCTCCTTGAGTTTGAGGCGGACGTGCTCGGGAAGCTTCTCAGAAGAAAAGGGCCGAATCCAGGCCTCACGAAAAAAAATAGAAAATACAAGCGCTGGCCAAAGTCAGCCAAGCAAGCCTAGCCCCCAACGCATGGAACCCCTTGCAAAAACAGCTTGAAGACTGGGCTTCTGTACTATAGTGTCTTCACTTATTCTGCATCATCCGGAGAAGCCCGAAGCCAAACTGGCAGAGCGGCATATGTCTTTGCGCGACGCACGACCTCTCCTTCGTAGCTGCCGTCCTTTTTTCACAGGGATGCAGCCGAAAGACCAAGCCAAGAGCTTCTGCAGCACAAAACGCGCCATGAACATACGCTCGGCTCTTGCCGATGCCGAAGCCAAGACTCCAGGACCTGGCGCTCTTCCTCAGCGACCTGCTCGGGCTGCAGGGGCACCGTCTTTCGCTCCAAGGCTTCACTGCACGAGCCTTGGTCTCGAAGCTGCGCATGTACCGCGGTTTGTGGTCCCGAGCCTCGCAGGACTGCTTGAAGCACAACAAAATCATGCTCAGGCAGATTGCAGAGCATGGCAAGCAGAGACAAGCATATCATGTCAGGCGTGGCAGGGTTGCCCCAGCCTCAGCATCCTCTTCTGGAGGAGCCTGCGACACTGCTGCGCGATTTTCAGCAGCATCCACTTCAGCGCACGTTGCAGACAGCGGCACAGCGGCACAGCGCTGTGGCCTCCGGCTCCTCCACCTGGCCGAGCTCTCCAACGGGGGCCAGGCAAGGCAAGGAGCATCGCCAAGAAGACCAAAACATGCCCTGAGGCCTGAGATGGGAGCCCCGGTTCAGCCGTGACCTCACGGGCAGCGAAAGCGGAAAAATGAATGAATGTATGAAGCAACGACCTGTTGCTGCACGACGATACCAGTAGCTCAGAGCTTCAGATTTGAAGGCCAAAGCTGGGCAAGGCAGATACCCTGAAAAGCAGCGACTGAAATTTCTGGACGGAGACTGGCAAGAGGAGATCTGGAGCTATGGATTTCCAAGGCCAACTAGCTTCTTCATGGGCCTTCACCACGTGCAACGTTTCGAGTCTCGATATGGGTGTCTGTTTCTTTCGTGATGCAGATGGTCCTCCTCACCATCCACTACAAGTGTGTATGCTCCCTTGAGCAGAAAGATGTAGATGGCCCAGCACCAGCAGGTAAACCCCCTCGACAGACTTCCCAAAAAAGTTCTGAAATTGTCGGTGCTAACGATGTTGCATTCACATCTTACAGAGGATTCCGGGCGGTTCCGAGAGATGTGAAACACAGAAACTGGAAACTCTCCCATAAATGCAGACCGTGCCGCGGTTCGCAAAGACAAATCGACAATTTTTCCGGTTCCGAGAAGGTAGAGACTGAGGTTCCAAGGATGCATGCTCATTTCCCAAGACAGCCGAAATTTAGCCATGCACGGAATCATAAGCCTTAGGGTACAAACAGGTCATGGCGCCACCGGACACTGGGCGAGAACAGGAGCCTCACAGATCAAAGCAAAGTAAACCATGTCCAAAGATGTCGAAAGCTTCTTCAGCTGTAAATACCACTGACCTGGACACTCGTAAATACTGCGCATACGCTCGTAGAACGAATTTCGTAGTAGCACAATCAAGGCGTTCCCGTGACAAAAAAATCGTATATGCAAGAGCCACGGACTCCACTTGACTCTTGGCACAGATAGCACTCAGGACTCGTGACTCGTTCTCCGCATCATTTGGGAAGAACTGTCCTATCGTTGCACCTCCACATCCTCACCTCCGACGCCCCGCGTGTCTGAGTAGAGCCTCACCATTCACACCATCCACGAGCAAAGGATGAAGCGAAGTGAGCAAAAATGCTTCGGACTCTTGACGGCTACACTCTTTATTCAGGCAGCCTCATCTTGACCTGTGCACCCATACCTTAGGCTCAGCACAGACGATATCTTCGTGGAACAAGCAGTGTGCATCTCACATCCCGGCTGGAAACCCTGCTCAGCTCCGGGCGAAGTGGCCGTGTATCTGACAGATCTAACGCACTGACGTAGACCACCTAAGATTCAGAGCAGAGACGGAATCGACCCGTTGGCCTGAGTCGTGTCTGTCCAAACTCTGTGCGAGGCCGTCACTGTTGCACCACGTGCCCTCAGCACTTGCTCTCAGGCCACGACATACTCGACCTCAGCAAAGCTTGAAAAAAAAAGCTTCGCCTGTGTTTGCTCCAGACTCTAGACGGGCTCAAAGGCCGGCCAAACATTGTAAACGAAGCAACTCTGCACCGTCACATGAAGTGAACTTGCTGTAGACAGTAGCTAAGCCGCAGTTTCGTCGATTTTTGCCTTCCTGTGCCGCAGCTGCGTCCGCGACTTCTTCTTGACAGCTGCCTGGGTCATGCCCACGACCAAGGAAAAAGCCACCAAACAGACGTGCCGACGGGCGAGCTCGTCTCAACTGCCGCAACCCTTTCACCTTCTTTCCAAGCAGAGTAGAGCGGCTGTCATCTCTCGAAGCTGCTCGAGTACGGCTTGTGGCACCTCACACAAAAAAGAGACAGAAGCCTTGGACCTCGCGATGCCTCGCTTTGCCACACGCTCCATCGCGGCGGGAAGACATACGCATATCATTGACACAGTCGAGTGTTCCCGCCCTTTTGTTGGAAAACCGGCCTCGTCACCAGGTGCATCCTTGACGCGACTTGACAACACTTGCGCACTCAGCGTCAGCTAGGGAGTAGGCATGCAAGTGACCTCCCTACTGGTGCAGACACTCGCCGTGAGCCGAGTCTTTTCCTATTTCTCAAAGACACAATACCGACGTGACACGTCCAACGTGCAACAAAGGTGCAAGCAGCTTGATCCAGGCAAAACCTTTGCCCACAAACAGCACCTCGCCTCGGGAGTAAGCTCGAGTGTCTTTGGGCTTGGGTATCCAACGCTTGCCATACGAATCTCCCAACAACACATAGTAAGAGCCATTAAGTAAATGCAAAAGCTTGTGACAGGTGTCACGTTCAAAAAGGATGGAACGACGTCGAGATGTCGATCCCATAACTTGAATGTGCATTCCGCCTGTCACATGATTCTCTCACTTCCACTCACTTGGTGAATGCCAGGATGCCGCTATAGACGGTCTGCGACACGGTCTGCCTCAGTATCAGAGAAACCCACCATCCACTTAAAGAGAACAGACTCGAAATGGCTGTGCAGCTGTGCAGGTCTCAGCGGGAGAGACAGTCTTTCACGGCAGCTGACCTCCCTTCCAGATAAGCTCTGGCTGCTCGCCGCTCGACGGCATCTTCCATGAGGCGGTTAAACGTCGTCTTGGTGCGTGTGCTGCGTGTGCCTTGCTTGACCACTGTTGAACTCAGTTCTTCGTGGGAAGTCTTTGACCCAATGGCCCAAGCTTGCTGGAATGGATGTGGCACCTGATCACCACATCTCTGCTCATATCCTGAAGAGCCATCTGCTGCTTTGCATCTGAACTCTGTGACAGTGGTCAGAGCTCTCAGAACATGGCTCTGTTACCTGTTGCCTTTTGCTTTGAGCACAGCAGCCAGCCAGCAGCTCCTCCAACATCATGTATTCCTGCCTAAGTGGCATTGCCTCGAAGAGAAACTAGCCACAAAATACCAACCTACCGCCGGAAAGGTAATGTTCCCAACAGACTTGTTGTAACGTGCTGCTCTCGGGCCCGCAGCAGCACAAGCCCCCACCACCGCGGAGTGTGCGAAGCTTGGCCTCCTGAGCATTCCTATCACACTCGTGAAGCAGCAAGAACTTTCAGTGGCCCAGGTCCTCGTTAAAATTCAAAACTCAAGGATGCATAGTGAATGGGTCCAAAAGCAACCCCTGTCTCGCCGGCTGCAAAATGCAAATGAGTCGCAATGGCTTCGTCAGAGTCGTCCACCTGCAGAGGGGAGGGTTTTAGCAGCCACCAGGCCACCAGCATGAGAATTGCGATGCTTTGTCCGATACCTCGGAGTAGCTCGAAAGGCAGAACCAAAGCCAGTCGATACTGTCAGCCCACGAGTAGCCTCCACCTTCTCCTGCTCCTCTTGCCGATCAGGCCGATCATCGTAGAGTCGTTTCTCGCTGTCTTTCCTGGACTGCTCTAAGGCAACTGACACATCCAAAGGACAAATTGCTTCAACACGCAGCCCCGACAACGGTCAGCTGGTCAGCTGGCCTAAGGAAGATTTTCTGGCAGTTCGCCTGCCCCAGGCTGTAGTGGCTGTCTTCAGCAGCATGTTGCAAAGACCATCGAAGCACCGGGGCGCTTACTTTTTCGAGCTCGAGGGTGCGGCGAATGTCGATCAAGTAGTGCCGAATCTTGGCGTCTTAGACATATCGACACTAAATACTACCAGGTACTACTAGGATCTTCTCGTACTTCTAGATGCTACTGGTTACTGCTCGGTACTACTCGAGACGACTAGGTACTACTAGCTACTTCTAGATGCTGGAAAATACTACGAAACACTACTACTAAGTAACAGATACTACTAGATACTACTATGCTTTACTATAAACTACTAGATACTACTCGATACTACTAGACGCTACTAGATGCGGATACTCTTCGATGCTACTAGATACTACTAGATACTACTAGATACTACCAGGTACTACTAGATACTACTAGTCACTACCAGATACTGCTGGATACTTTTTGATATTACTACATACCACGAGATGCTACTAGATATCTATACTAAGACTAAAGATACTCTAGATCCCTCTGGATACTACTACCAGATACCATTTTGCTACTGCTCATGCTCATGCTCCTGCTCCTGCTGCTGATTCCAGGGCCACTGCTACTAACTACTGCTGCTGCTAAGGGCTACTTCTCCTTCTACTGCTACTGCCACTCCTACTCCTACTTCTACTCCTACTCCTAATCTAGCTGCTACTGCTACTGCTAGTGTTAGTGCTAGCGCTACTGCCACTGCCACTGCCACTGCAACTGCTCCTGCTCCTTCTCCTACTCCTGCTACTGCCACTGCCACTGCCACTGCCACTGCTGCTGTTACTGCTCCTACTGCTGCTGCTGCTACTGCTACTGCTGCGACTACTCCACTACTATTACTACTACTACTACTACTACTACTACTACTACTACTACTACTACTACTACTACTACTACTTCTACTACTACTACTGCTACTACTACCACGACTACTACTACTACTACTACTACTACTACTACTACTACTACTGCTACTACTACCACTACTACCACTACTACCACTACTACCACTACTACTACTACTACTACTACCACTACTACTACTACTGCTACTACTACCACTACTACTACTACTACTACTACTACTACTACTACTACTACTACTACTACTACTAATACTAATACTAATACTAATACTAATCCTAATCCTAATACTAATACTAATACTAATACTAATACTGATACTGATACTGATACTAATACTAATACTAATACTACCACTACCACTACGACAACTACGACTCCTCCTACTACTACTACTACTACTACTACTACTACGACAACAACAATAACTACTACTACTACTACTACTACTACTACTACAACTACTACTGCTACTCCTTCTACTACTACGACTCATTACCACGGCGACGACGACTACCCCTGCTACTCCCACTGCCACCACTAGTGCTGAATGTCTTGTATCGTACACTATTCTTGCGATTGGCGCCCTTGTCACTACTTTGAACGATGGCATTGCTACTACAAATCCCCTTGTCATGACTGAGATGTTGTTACAGTCTTCGCCACCTTCATTTCGAAAGAAGTTGCACAGCCTTGGATGTCTTGCCTGGGCCATTACGTAGCCGAAGTAGCTTTATACCTACGATTTCTACTCTCGGTAGCATCGCAAGCAAAAACTTCGAAAATTGCGCGGGACAGCCGATTTGGGTAGAGAGAGGATGTAGAGGTGGTGACGGAAACCGAAGTAGAAACTATCCTGTGAAGCAGACGCAATATCCTTTGATTCGTACCGACCTCTGGGTGCTGCTGAAACTGGGAGCATGGCCCGACGCTCCAGATCATGCATGCCTGGGGCCTGGGGCAGAAGACAACGCGCAGGTGATCCGTCTTGGATCATCATTCGGTGGATGCAAAAACTGAATCTGCAGTTGGAAACAGTAACAAACTAAGGTGCAGAATCTGAGCCTCACCTGAACTTCATGAAAACTCGTTCTAGGCCCTGGCATCTTCAGAAGCTCCATCCTGCTGACAAAGCTTGCGAAACCGCCCAAACTGCGTGGAAATGCGCTGACATCGCCCTGGCGGCTAGCCCCTGAAGCACGACTTGCAAAGGATTCTCTGGTATTGCTGTCGTTGCGAGATGACATTCAACACCTGATATCCAGGTGCTAATTTCGGACACCGTCCGGTTGTTCGGGATTTCGGCCTGTGCTGTTCGAGACGCTGTAAGGATTTCCGGTGGAAGCGGGTCGGGGGAGGATGAGGTCAGCCAACACAAGCGAACCCCGTCGGGATTGCGATGGTTGACGTGAGTTCCAGATCTTGATCGGTCCTGTGAAGAGCAAAGTCTATTTGTGAGCTGCTTTGAACTGCGGAAAGCGAGAGGGAAGCAAAGGGGAGGAAAGTCAGGGACGGATGGCAGGGCGGGTTTAGGGAGCTGCCACCACCCCTCATCACTCCTGGTTCATGCGCCAGTTGCTGATCGATCTCAGTGCAGCTTCGAGGTCCGGACCTCCCAGAAAACAAATCTTCATCCTGGGCTTGCTGCATCTTTTCTTTCATGGTCTCACAGGGCCACGCGAGATCGCCGGTGATCTCCGAGACGATACCGAGCCAACCCGCGCCGGTAAAGTGCCTCCAATTCAACATCCGATTCGCATGCTTCCGAGCACCGAAACGAAGCAACAGACACTGCGCCCAGGCAGGCTGCTTTTTGCCGTATTCTATGCGCTGTCACGATAAGGCTTACCGCTGTGCGGGACATCCACATACGCCGCGATCATCGATTGTAGTACCTGATGACAGGAAGTAAAGTTTAAAGGCGAGCCTGAATCTGAGCTTGCTCCGAGCTGCTCAGACATGCCCTGACTGCCGATGTCCTGCAGGGCGCAATTTCCAACCGCTGCAAGAACACTTCCCATCAGTCAGTCCTGGAAGTATTCGGTAACATCGAAGTCACTCTTGGAACAAGGGCAGCTGATGATGTAGTCCACCTGATGAAACCCACAAGCTCTTTCACTTCTACCTGCCACCGTTCCAGGCCGCCAGGCCTTATGTTCTGGCCGGTTCTGATCTTCTTTGATCCTGTCGGAGAACCTTTAGGCATCACCATTCGGTCAATGGTCAATGGCTACACTCTGCCAAATGTCCACACTAGCAGCTTCTCGCCAAGTCACACAAACCACTGTCCGAACTCCTCAACTGTGTCCTTGTAAGTCTGGCCTGTTGGCTTCACTAGCCCAAGCTACACAGCCTCCTTCATCTCCATCAGCGTTTGATTGCATAAAAATTTACAACCCCGCGACTGAAGACGCTCATCACATCCTCGTAATCGATGCCACCTCAGATGCGAAGCCGTACCAGGTTGCGCCACAATCTTCAATGCCGACATTTTCAGACCTGCTCAGCTGCTCTGCCAAGCTGCTGGGTAGTGTCGAGTTGCCGCTCTCACGCCGAGCCTTCTCCTCTGATCACAGAAACTGCTTCAACTGGCTGCACCTGTCACCAAGGGCACCTCCAAGCGCTCCCTGATTGGATAGCGGTCCGTGGTCTCCAGAATCCTCTCCACGAAAACAACACGAAAATCAGCCAGCGCAATTATGTCTTGCTAGCCCCGAAATCGCGCGTCTCCTGTCAGATTTCTTGTCCACCTGGAGCTGGGTGTTGAGGTGCTCAATATCTTTCAGAATGACCTGGGCTCCAGCGAAACTGCTGGGAGACTGACAAGAAGGTCCTCCTGGGGCTGTGTCCACTGTGTCGTCCTTCGTGGCCTGAACTCCACGATCTGAAAGTAGCTGTACATTAAACCAGTTTTACAAAGCTGCCTTGAAGAACTCCTCTCGCGCCTTCTCTTTTCCTGTAGGGCGGACATTAGCAATGGCTGGTGGTGACGATCTTCCGCGACCGGCGGTCAGACAATCAGACAAAGGGCATTTGTTGATGCGCAGCTCAAAGACTTCTGAATTTCTGCACAGGAATGTAAGCTGCACCACACAACGCATGTAAAAGTAGACAAAGACCTCAAGACCTGGAGGAAGAGACGCGCTTGACCCTGGACAGCTCCACCCAAGAGTCGCCTGCTTCAGCAAACACGCGTCGCATGTTCAGAGGACTCTTCCGCAGAAGACACGTGCCTGGCAAAATCCGCACTCCAAAGTTATCAATCAAGCACAACTCTACTTGCCAGCACTTCACGTTTTTGCCCACTGCATTCACTTGGGCCGGCACAGATCATGACTTACTGTAAGTCGATTGGATAACATGTGGTAGCATCTGTCGTGTCAATCAAGCAACGAGGCTCGACTGCGTCTACATGTTGGCCGCTGTCCAGCTAATTCACGAGGAACTCGCGGGCAATTACACAACCTTCTGCCACGGCACCGTGCTTTGTGGCATTAACCTTGGTCAATCGCATGTGTTTGCTTGATGTTGTGCAGCGCTCTGTTGGGAGCCCGTGCTGCCACAAGCCAAGGCCTCTGCCAATTGGATGCCTTCTTCAGTTTCTGCTTCCTCGCGTACCTCGCTAGAAGATGGACTGCGAGTCGCAGGCGGGCACTCTATGCGTTGTAGTTCTCTTCCTTCTTACTTTGGAGTCAAGGCACTCCATATTCACTCACCAAGAACGGATATGCATTTCGCTTCAGAGCTCTGTAGATGTCTTGCAGCTTCACCTGGGAGCGGACAGCACAAAGAGACCTAACGTTCGGAAGGCTGCAAACTGTGCATGCTACACGTGCAAAATGCTACGCTACGCATAAGCCCTCAGCATGCTGGCGCTTTTTCTTGCTGTGCACCCAGAGCCGCTGTGGCTGCGAAGTGCTGTTCTTCCTTGGACGCTTCAAACTGCCTTGCGAGTTCCTGGGCCTATGCACAAGTCAGGCAGACCTCCGATCTTTCACACTGGTATCAAACTCTGTCTGACTTGTGCATCTCTTGCGCTTAGGCAAGGCCTTCTCGTGGAACACAAGGCCCTGTGCCAGGTGAGCTCGGAAATCGGAGCTTTTTCCTCCTTTCGTGAGTGCATCGGCGATCTGATGCCTCGTAGGCACCCACAAAAATTGTGCCTTGCAATCACTTTCCCGAGTTGACAGAGCTTGGCGTAGCAACACAGCGTGCACGATGTTGCCCCTCTCACTTACGTGTCTCCCGTCCTTGTGGATGGTATCGTATATGCTCTTACAATCCGTAACGAGGGTAGCAGGGGTAAAGGATTGCCATCCATCGTCTTCAACAGCAGAGACAACGTCAGAACCGAAACGGATTTCAGATATCAAGACCTGACAGAACTTAGTCATACCTAGCGCCATGACTGCTGCATGTGTTTCAGCAGCGAAAGACGACTCGACGACCCTTCTGTTAGTACTACTCTTCCAATCCAACAAGTTAAAGTGAACGCCGCCTTGTTGACTTTTGGTCATGCCTCTTTTGACTAGACCTAGCACAACACCCTTTTGCGAGTACACTAGTTTCTTCTCGGTCCCTTGGAGGAGAAGGTCCTCAGCTTGCTGTTCTTCGAGCTCGACACCGACACTGTTAAACAAACCGGCATCATGATAGGTCACCAATTCCGCGTCGAGACCAACATTCTTAAAACAGATTTGAACCCTGTTACATGTAGCCTCCTTTACAGCTCGATTAACTCGTAACAGGTCCTCTACCCTAAGATCTGTGATCCTCTTCTGGAGCTGGTTGACCTCGAACGCCAGGTCTGGCCTGGACTGAGTCACAAGCCACTGAAGGCTCCCGACCACTGAGCGGTAGTCGGTCCTTTCGGTGTCTGTCGCAGGATCCTCCTTGTTGCGCTTGCGCTCTGCGGGGAGCTCCATCGGTTGCAATCTACCACTGACAAAACCGTCCTGGCTGAGAAAGATACAAGGCTCCCCTTCTTGCTGTCCCACTCTGATCTCCTTTCCGCAGTACGTCACTCCTGCCGCTTGCTGTGCAACAGGAAGCCAAGTACCGAAAGGAAAACGGGCCTTGAGTCTGTCAGTAGCTTGCTGTCCGAAACTCGTGCCATCATGACAAAACATAAGATCATCAACGTGAACAATCAAGAGCCCTCTAAGTTTGTGATGAGAATCTCTTAACATGAACAAAGCCGGATCGGTAGACGATTGTTCGAAGGACAGTTCTTCCTGAAGTATTCTGGACAATTCGTCAAACCAAGCCCTAGGAGCATCCGGCCTACCATACACAGGTTTCAGAAGTTTCAAGATCTGTCCTTCAACTAAACCCTTGAGACCCTGTTTTGGTTGTTTCATGTACATCTCTTTCCCTTTTAAAGGAGCTCCTTGCAAAAAAGCATTGCTGATGTCGCCGATAAACCAATCGTGAAGCCATCCTGCGCTGATGACGTAGTTGAGAAAGATCATCGTTGAAACTCTTTCCACGGTTGGCGAATCGACCTGCAGCTGTCCAGACCTACTGTCTGGGCAAAGGTGTCCCTGAAGGCACAGACGAGCTTTGGCCTTCGTGGGAAGTGGCTGTCCCTGTTCGTCTACTGGCCCTGCATGTTTGTTCCTGAAAACATACCTACTTGGAAGCACGCGGTCGGGCTTCTCGGCCAACACCTTTTTGCTTTGTTCAGGAGTCAAGATTTCACAACTCTCGTAATGTTGCCAACTGTCCCACTCCTTTTCTTCAGCAGCTCGGTACAGTTCTCGTTCGTGAGGTGGAATCTTTTCGAAAGGGATCTCTTTTTCCATCATTCTCCTAAGTTTGGTTTTGCTCTTGTTGCTGTTGGTTTGGACACTGTTCACTTGGTTCTCTCTTCGTTTCTTGATGGCATGTGGAACATCATCCAGTGACATGTCTTTACGAGTACGTCCACGGAAAATCGTGATGAGGAGCGGAACAGGACCACTGGGGATCAGCGCATGCGGATCCGCTAAGTTGATCCACTGTTCTTCTCGTTCAACACATTCCCAAGAACCCTTAACGTACGCCCAAGTCGTTCGGTAAGGAAGTCTGTGAGCCTCAAACCTAGGTTCAGGAGTCCTAAAAGCCCAAGCTCTAGACGACACTAACACCGGGTTGCCATAGCCATCGTCGTGCCATCCTGGAGTTTTGTCCATCTGAATCAGTTCAGGTGGCAATCCTGACATATCGTCTTCAGGTTGAACGAGTTCATCGCCCAACTCTTCGGCAAAAGGTTGTTGGGTGATGTCATCAAGGATATGTTCGGGATCGGGTTGTCCGGTCAGGTCTTCGTACGTAGCTTCGGGGGGAACTTTCTTGAACAAAGACATGATTTTCTGAATTTCAGGGTTTCCGAAATGTTGTTCATCACCCACAGCTTCGCGCAAGTGCTCTCCGGCAACAAGAAAGCATCTACCGCTACAGGCAATCCAAGCATTGTGACCCTGAACTCCCACAACGTAACCAGGTCCAACCCACTTACTCTGGCTTTCACGGTTCTTACTTCGTTCCTTTCTCCAAAAGAACACAAGCTGTCCTACTTGAGGGTTCGTGATACGACGAGTCCGATGATGAACTGTTTTGGCTAACATCTGTCTGGCTTGACTCTTCGTGAACTCTAACTTGGCATGATAGCGATATCGCATGCGACTAGCAACATCACTCTGTGGCTCACCTACCTGAGGATGAAAGCTAGCAGGATTCCCTTCATGGTACAAT